GTTTGTTTTGTTGTCTGATTTTCATGACTGTGGGTTTCCTCAAAAAGCCTGGTGATCCCCAGATGTCTATTCATATGTAAGAGTGAGAGAAGTTGTCTACCTAGCTGGAACTTGTGGATTGGCAGACCTCATTTTGATGTGACTAGGCAGGTGATCACACTGTTGAAAACCACCTCCCAGTATCCATAAAAGTATTTCTCCTTAGGCAAGTCAGTTTCCTTTGAAAGGAATCCTCTGATATCCTGTCTGCTGGATACAAATCTGGAAAGTGCCATTATAGGAGCCAAGTGGGAGAGGAACTTTCATAGTTCAGTATGCAGATTTTCACTTACTCCCTTAACCCCAGTGTGCAGTAAGTCACCTCACCCTTACACTCAGCTAGCTATCTCTATGTCTTCAAGGCCAGGGCTTCTCCAGTTCACCCTCACCAGGGAGTATATCTTATTGTTTCTGGATTAGGTTAGGGCAGTATGTTACCCAGCTGTTTGGTTGGGAAGTGATGTGAAGGTTTACTGACTCCTGATATAGATTATCAACCAATTCTGTTGTTTTCAGCCTTTCTTCTCACTAATGCCTTCAGAGATCCCTGGGCCTTGGATTCCTGCTGATCTGGATCTGTATTTATGTTGTGACAAGGAGTTTGGGGAAGGAGCAGAGATAAGTGCCTGTATTTAATCCACCATGTTGACCAGATTCACTGTTCTCATTCCAGACAGATTTTCTCAACTCTTCCCAGACATTTCAAGTTGGAATCTTTGGAGGGTAAATTGAGGAGTATGTATTTTTGAAAATGTTCTCAGGTACTTCTGATGAAGCTAGTGTACTAATCCACATTTGGAAGTCATGACTCCAGCGCTAACCCTCTGGTACACATTTGACAATTACCTTTGAAGTCCCAGTGAACTAGGAAGAAGGGAATGAGGAAAAGGATAGGTAAATTCTGAGAAAAGGATGACATAAAAAGGGACAGGCCTTGAGTGATCCAGGGGCATTTTGGGGAGGACATATCTTGATTGGGGATGTTGATAGTCATATTTCTCAATGGTGAGCAGGGCAGGGAAGCAGGGGAAGCAGTATCAGAGTGCTAGAGGACAGCCAGTCTTTTGCTAGGAGGGAGGGTTGTGAGATGGCATTAATGGATTTGAGACTAGTTTGAAGACAGAATAGAGATTTTCCTCCTCCAACTCTATTTCACCTTCTTTTCTCCCCTCCTTTATTTTCCTTGCACACATTTGTAAAATAAAGGAAGCCATGAAGTGAATTATGAGAAACTATTAAACAGGGAAATGGGAGAGGAGGGTGTAAGTGGTGGAGAGACAGGATAAGGAAAGAACTTCTAAAATAATTTTTAAAAAAGATTTTATGTATTTGTTTGTTTGTTCATTTATTTAGAGTGGGGGAGGGAAGAACAAAAGGGAGAGGGAGAGAATCTCAAGCAGACTCCCCACTGAGCATGGAGCCTCACAGAGGGCTCCATCCCATGACCCTGAGATTATGACCTGAGCTGAAGTCAAGAGCCAGTCACTTAACTGACTGAGCCACCCAGGCGCCCCTAAAATAATTTTTAATTAATTGCTGAAGGTTTGACATCCACGTTATTATATTCATTTGTCCAGGTAAGTAATGTTATTAGAACAGACAAAAATTGGTATTTGGTAAAATGGAATCTATACTAAGGACTTTTTTATCTATAGCTAGGCAGTGCTGTGGCATTTTAAAAGTCTTGGTAGTACTTGGTATAGATGTAATGACAGAAGAGTCTCTTAAATCCTATGCTAACAACTTCAACTAAGATACATATCCCTCCAGGCCCTGTGGGGGTGTCTAGTATTTTATAAAGCCTATGGATCACATAGACAGGAAATTATTTTCCTTTATTATTCCATACTTTCCCTACTTTACAAGATGTAAGAAAAGTTGCATAGTATTTTTGAAATCAGATGAAATCAAGTGTTTATTAAATTTGTTGCAATGCAAAGTGATAATTAAAACAGATGGGAAATTTAAACTGGATTTGCTGTAATTGCTTTTTTCAGCTTCAAAAATGCAGTATAGGTTTTTGCCATATTCATTTACTTCAAGTACATTCACTCAAAATTGCATTTCTTAGTACAATGGTTGGCATATGGCAAGCAGTTTTTAAGTTTCTTGAGTGAATAGGTGAGAGCCAAGAAAATTGTTGAGGAACTGGAAAGATTCTTACTGTTTTCAGAGATTTGAGTTCCTTATAAACATATAAACAGGCACACACACAATGTATATCAAACCGTTCTAATTCACCATTAGACTTTTATTTGAAACTACTTTCTCCAAATATGTAATAACTAATTTACCAAACACATCTTTCTAGATTTAGATTCCCTTTATATAAAGATAGAGAAATCCTCAGGGTCTTGGAAAAGATATGCCTCGGCGGAGCAATCCCCAAAGCTGTTATTTTGGCTTTACCTAACTATTTAATGCACAGACATTCATGAATTTCATTTATATTGACATGATATATATCACAACACTTAATATTCACATAAAATTAATTTCCATTTTAAGAGGTTTATTCACGTATGCTTAGTTTGTGCAGTTAGCAGTCACTACAAAATACATACCAAACATTAACCTTGTTATCATTTCTGATTCTATTAAAATGTATTTGTAATTCAGCAATTAGGTATCATCTGAGATCATTTTTGAGAACAAATTAAAAGCTAAAATATAACAACTTTCCTTAGCTTCCTAGTCTCAATATTTTGGCCATAAGTATACGGGAAGATAGAATTAAAAACAAAATCTTCTCCCAACCCAGAAATCCTCTCCACAAAGGTAATGAAGGAATAAAACACAGCATTAAACCAGAATGTGATGTGCATTATAGGCAATTAGGAAAGAGATTGTAAAGACAGAAAGAAATTTCACCCCTTTGTATACCCAAGCAAATACAACCCATTACCTAAGTTTTCAAGATAAACAATAACCAGTTCTCAAATAAGAGGCCTTGACAATATCATTTGCATGCATAATTCATCTTAATTTTATTTTGTAATTGGGGTGACCATCTGTGTTAACTAATCAGCTTTATCCAGAGGAAAAACAACCTTCTCATATCTTTATGACAGAAGGTAGTTTAGCAAGTTGGAGTGATTTGCCCACTGAAGTTAGAATCTGTTTCCCATGGAAAGTTATTTCCCTTTGCTTTTTATGGCAGTATAATTGACATAATATTATATTGGTTTCAGGTTTACAACATGATTCGATATTTGTATATATTGCAAAAGGATCACATGATAAGTACAGTTCACATCTGAAACTGTACATAGTTATATGAGTTTGTCTTTTTTTTTTACTTGTGATGAGGACTCGTAAGATTTTCTACCTTAGCAACTTTCAAATATGCAATATAGTATTACTACTATAATCACCATGATGTATGTTACATCCCCATGGCATATTTATTTTATAACTGGAAGTTTGTGCCTTTTGATCCCCTTCATCCATTTCAGTTCTACCCCCAATCATCAATCTATGAGCTTTTTTTTTTTTTTTAAGATTCCACATAAAGTAAGATCATTGGGTATTTGTCTTTCTCTGCCTGACTTATTTCACTTAGCACAATGTCATCAAGGTCCATCCTCAAGGTTGCAAGTGACAAGATTTCATTCTTTTTTTCTGGCTGAATCGTATCTCATTGGGTATATGTGTATCTATCTATATAGATATTTATAATTATATATCACATTTTCTTTATCCATTTCTGGGGGCTGGTATGTCTCTTGATGTTCACATTTCAGAGTGGTATCTTGATATCTCCCAAGTCTTTAAAGACATTCCTGGAATGTAAAGCTGACAAAACATTACCGGACAGAGACCTAACTAGTTTTAAAGAGGATGTATATACAATTCAAAGAAATAAGAATGTATTCAACAATTACAGGTTTTCTAAGACATGTTCAGAGAGAGGGGAATCTCTTCTCACATCTTTAAGAGGAAGAATTAAGCCTCTTACTTAAATTTTTTTTTTTGTCTTTACAGCATGTTTTGCTTTCTTTTGACTTTGAAACAGCGGACAAGAAATGTCCAATTTAAGATTTGTTTATGTGTAGAGCTGTTCACTACGGTTAAACAACTAACACTGTCGAAAAAAAATATTCACCATTCCTCTTTGGCTTCCACGTAATTCAAAAGTTTTAGAGGGGGAGGGTGGAGATGGGGTTGACATTAATTTGCCCCAAGCAAAGAATGTGGTTCAACCAATGTACAGGATACAATGCCTTAAAAAGTCGGCTACAGGAACACACCCTCGAATAGTGACTAATAAAACCTATCATACTGTTACAGATCACCTAGTTATCTTTGTTTAGCTCACATTACTCATTTTCCACTAAGTTCTTTTGGGGAAGGACGCTTCCGAAACAATCCTCACTGGAAGAGCAAACCAATTTGGGTTCTTCGCGCATTCTAGACTCTGGAAGAGGTAAGGGCTTACTATTACAGGGGACCACTCTCAGGACCTGCTGTACGCTTAACAGCATCCATCCCAATTCCAGCATTGAGTGTCTAACCCTCTTTTTTAAAAGACAGTCTCAGGCACTGGGAATTACAGGAATGAGAAAGACACAGTTCCTGCCTTAGCCGAAAACCATTCTAAAAGCATCAATGTTATAGTTGATGCAACTAAAATGTACAAGAAAAGGTGAATGATTCTGAGGGTGAAAAGTGCGTATTCAGGGGTGCGGGGTCGCGGCCCCAAAGCGGCTTCCGTTCCTCGAGATTTCAGCACCCGGATCGCCCAGCACCCCGCGGGCACACTTAACATTTTAATCACGACTCCGCCCCCACCCTCCGAATTCCTTTCCGGCTGCCGACCGGCCGGGTAGTCCCTTCCAGACGGCCCCAGCTTATCACCCCCGGCCCGGCCACTTCCCGGTCGCGGCCAGGCGAGCCTCCCAAAGTTTCCTGTGACGCCGCCGTCCGCCTCCGGCCCCATCCCGCCCTCACTCCCACCCCCGCAGCCCCGGACGCCGGGTAGAGAGGAGCGGGGTCAGAGAGACCAGGAGAGCAGTACGAACAGGAGGACTTCGAGACCCTACCCGAGCTGGGTAGCGGACCCAGAGGGCGGGAGCCACAGGTCCACGCCTCCTTTCGCCGCGCCCGCAGCCCCGGGTCCGCGCGCGCCCACTTGGCCTGGAGCCCGAATCCCACCCCCCCGGGTCCAGAGCCAATCGGCCGCGCCCCGCCTCCTGGGAGGTGGGGGAGGAGGGGGTTGGGGGCCGGGCGGCAGCTCCCGCCTCTAGCTCGTGCCCATTGGCTGGGGCCTCGAGGGTGCCCGAAGACCGGAGTGCAGTTTGATTGGCCGCAGAGGCTCGTGACAGCGGCGCCCATTGGCTGTGGCAGCCCCCGTGACGCGGGGTGGCGACTGGCTCCCGGGTCTGAGGGGCTCCTGCTTGTCAGGTTCTAGGTAGGTGAGTTTCGCGCCGCCGGCGGCTGGCGCTGTTGCCCGGGGCAACGCCGAGGGAGGGGGGAAGAGGAGGGCAGGCAAGCGGAGAACGGGGGCAACACTCCCTGCCCGCAGGGGGGCGCCTGGGACTCAGCCCTGGCTGCGGCGGCTGCGCCGAAGGCTCTTCCTCCGCCCTCGGCCACCCCCACTCCCGCCCCAGGCTGCAGGGTCTCCCGCCCGTCCTCCACCCGCGGCAGAGCATTCCTGGTTGGGGCTCGGGCCGGGCTGCAGACCCGGCCCGGCGAGGCAGGCCCCTCCCACCAACCCGGGACTGGAGGCTGAGGGGGCGGGTGCCGGCGCGAAAGGGTTGAGGCGGGCGCGGCGGCCCCGCCCCGTCGCCGGGTCGGTGGGCTGCGGGGTGTGGGGCGGGGTAAGCGGTGCTGTTGGGCACCACCCATCACGCCCGTACACCCTTGTCTTCTAGCGCTCCTCTCCTGGCGCAGCCCTTCAGCTGGGGCGGCCACCCGCAACCCCTAGGTGTTCCCTCAATCCCATCCTACCTCTCGGGCCCTGAAGTCCCCCTTGACCCGCGCAGCCCGTCCCCAGACCATCTCCCATGCATCAGCCTCCCGACCTCCCGCTTTTATCCCCCACCTTCGATCTCTGCTCCTGTCTTGGCCAGAGGTGACCCCCAAGACATTGTCAAGAGAAAAACTGTTAAGTGAAGCTCATGCAACCGGGGCAGTTACTGCTCTGTACTCTCTTGGCCATTTAGGGTTGAGGAGGTGTTTCGAGGCACCTCTGGGTTAGTTTTCTGCCTCAGAGTCTTCTCGGTATCAACTTTCTGAAACGATAATTGTGTTGGTGTTGCTAGAGCCGGGCCGGGTACGTTGTGCACAAATTAACTGTGAAGTTGTCGTTTTTTACTTTGTACATTTGTGATCTTGATTTCTAGTGCAGTGCAGTCCCAAATCTAATAATTTATTAAGGCTGTTAGTCTTTCATTTTCGTTCGCCGTAATGGTTAAAAAAAAAAAAAAAAGCTGCATACATTCATAGTGGTCTGTCACTTTGACATTAACTGCTCTAAAGGTGCAGTCGTACCATTTTCCTCTTTCTCCAGGAATTCTAAGTTAATAAAAGAATTTCCCCAGTGGAGCCACTATGTATAAAAGTGTTACGGAAAAACCAGTAAAATACCAAAACTATTTTAGTGATAAAAGACTAGAAAACACTTTTTAACCAATGGAATGGGAATAGAATTAAAAAAAAACCTTGCAAAATGTAATTATTTCAAGAGTGTAGTGTTGTAGTCTTGGTATACCTGTGTAGTCTCTAGAAAGAAATATTCAAGAACCACACATTTGTCAGAATGCAAAGGAAGGCTGAATGTAATCTTTTGTAATCCAGGAATCTTTTTTGCTAGTACTCTTGAACCAAGGGAACTATACTTCCAAAGGTACTGAGACCATATTAAGAGAGTATGTAGGCATACTTGGAAACCTTTTACCTGCCTTTTTTTTTTTTTTTTTTTTTTCTTTTTTCCCCTGAATGGCCTTTGGTCAAGATCTGTTTCTCTTCTGCACTGATGGTAGGCAGCATTAAATATGTAACAGGTAAAATTATTTAGGGTCCAGTTAATGCAGCTTCTGCACTACTTTAAAGGTTGATGTCAGTAGTTTGGAAGTAAGAATTCACACTTTTGGTAGACAGATCACTTTCATTTCATCTTCAACTATTACATAGTTATAACTCTGGTCTGTGAACTTTCAAGCTGCCATTTTATTTTCTCCTTTATTTTACTATGTATGAAAATTTTCAAACAATGAAGTAAGGTTGAATTGTACAGTAACTACCCAACCGTCTACACAGCAATAACATTTCCCGGATAGCTGTTACAGATAGTAAATATAAAGGAAAAGGGGAACTGAAATGATCAAGTTTGAAAACCAGCATAAATGTATAACATACCAAAATATCGTAAGAGCTTAATTTCTATTTGCAGATGGAAATAGTGTTTATAAAAACTATAGTAATTTAATTTCCATGAGACTTACAAAGCAATCTTGTGAGTGAGTAGGAAGTCATGTTTGTACATCAAGGCCCAGATGAGTAAGTTGCATTTTGGTAATAAGAAAAAAAAGAAATCAAATGAACTTGTTATACAAATAAAAGCTTGTTTTAAAATTGGACTCCTGTATTAGTAGATGATAGTTTTATACTTGATCTTTGAATGAGCATCTTCTTTTGAAGACAGGTCTAAAGGACTGTCTTTTTCGATTATTCAGTGTTTCAATTATTAGTATTTATCGATTATTCAGTGTTTCAGTAACAAACAATAAGTTGGATCAATCTTATGCATGTTGTTTTGGAATAAGTATATTTTTGTAATGGAAAAAAGAAAGCCTATAAATGGGAAGTTTTAGTAGAACTATTTCATGGAAAATGAAGTAATTATCTAGAAACATTTAACTCAGTATTTTGATAGGACTCAAAACTATCTTGGGTGTTGTTTCATGGTGTTGCTAAAAGAATGTTTTAACAGAGAACTTTAGTTTATAATAAAAGAATAATAAATGGGTATAAGTTCACGTATGTGTATATTTGTAATTTTTCCATACTTAGGAAATTTCTGCATTCTTCTGTAAGTATTTGAATCCTGCTTTTCAGTTTTAGTATACCCTAAATTTGTTTTTCATTCTTAGCTCATTTATATAACTAATTTCTTAAATATTGAAATTAGGAACTATGTCTCAGAATTTATAGATCTTAGATTGCCTTGATATTATTTCTCCATGTCTCATTTGACTTTGGCATGCTTATGTATGGTTTATTTACCACACCACCTGAGAGATTAAAAAGAACAAGCAGGACATAGTTTTAGAACTTCAAAAAGAATAAAATGTTTAAATATTTTTTAATTGAAGGTCCGGTTTTTTTTTTTACCTGCCTCCCTCCCTCTTTTCTTCTTTCTTTACTATTTTTATCTTTTTTATAAAAGTTAAATAAGCTGAATAGACTATAGAGAAGATGAGGTGCCTAGCTGGCTCAGTCAGTAGAGCATGGGACTCTTGATCTCAGGGCCGTGAGTTCAAGCCCCACGTTGGGTGTAGAGCTTATATTAAAACAACAACAACAACAACAACAACAACAAAAGAGTATAGAGAAGAAAAGTCACCAATAATTCCATGATAGTTAATACTTTGGAAAATTACTGAAACTTTTGTTTCTTCTGTAACACTCTACTGATCATAGCAGTACTATGGTCTTTATTGCAGTATATCTGCACCTGCACCTAAACTTGCAGTTCCTGAACTTGAAACTTGGTTACTGTAATTTAGAAGAGGGCTCCAAGATCTGGAAGAAAAATGGAAAAGAATAAATAGAGGACAGATTAGAGTCAGAACAAAAGAAATCTGACAAGTAATTTCCCACTTCTTACTATTATAAGTATAAATATAATCCTAGTTACCCATGTGAAACTGCTGTATGGCTGACAAAATATGGGACCTCTCAAGTTTTTTCTTTGTGTTCAAAATATCTAGGTCAGATGAAGTTTACTTAGTGCCTTTCTACAAAAATTTTTAGATTTCTCCATTTTGGGGGATATTAGATAATTAGTTTTATAAAATTAAATGTCATGGATGACTTGGAATTATTTCTTAAATATTTATATATACTTATCAAACAATGACTAATATTTAGTCTATATATCATCACTTCCTATAAGCTTGATATCATTTCCTCCTTTTGAAGGTTTTAATTAAAATGCTAAAATTTTTAATATAGGTGTTTTTTGCCAGGTTGCAGGGTGTAGTGAAAGAAGATTCATTTCTTTTGGAGCTAAGCTAATTGGGTTTCAGTCACAAACCAGAATTTTCTTCTGTGGGATCTTGGGCAAGTTAATGTAATCTCTTTAAGTCATAGTTTCCTCATCTGTAAAATGAGGATAATAAGATTGCCTCACAAGGTTGTCACGAAGAAGAATGACACAATCTAGCTAAAATGTCTGAATTTAGGAAGTCCTCAACTTTCATATTCAGTTCCCTACGTGGCAGCTTTAATTTTATCTCTTCTAGTATTTCTGTGTTTATTCTACCATCCTAAAAGTCCCCAAATTTTAGACTTCGGATATTCAGTAATGTACATTAAGTAAATCAAATGACATTTGTATTTGTACAAAGGAAATAATTAGTGTTATCTCCTACTAGCTGTTCTTTTATAGTTCTTCAATTGCCGCGTCTCAGTAGGGATAATTGGAAATTCACTTTAAATGCTTTTTACCTCAAAATATGTCTAGTTTGTCTGAATTCCAGAATTATTTTTCTTCCACCTTAGATTATCATCTGTTGGTGGATGGTTTCCCAAAATTCCTTTCATTTTAACCACAAATATTTGCTTAAAAGTGGTACAGAAAAGCTAAATGTTACTTTATTAAATCTCCAGTATTCCTCCCTTCCTTAAACCGCATTTACTTAACCTATTTAAAACTTAAAGTTTATTTTCAGGGGTAATAGTACTTAAACTCTTATGTGAATCTTTTCCTGCTACTACTAATATGTATGATTATTCTTTAGGGACCATTATTTTATAAATATCCCCATTTCAAAATGTGTGTTGTATAAGTGTAGGATTCTAATTCCTAAAAAGCACTCACTTATAATTTAAATGCACAGACCAGGGTATCATGAAACAAGCACTGAGCTGTATAAAGAGTTAGGAGTTGGACCACATAGTTTTTATGTCTTATCTGGCAATAAAACAAAATTTTGTATCTATTTCAATTTTTTTCTGACTCAAGTACAAGATATTTACATGTGTGACATATTCTAATGTGCAGTTTCCTAGCATGCTATGTGTAATTCCATCTCACCCAATCCCCACGCAAGAAAGCGTATCAGAATGCAAATGACTAAGAGTGACATCATTATGGGGATAAATTTGAATCTATTCTGATGTCTCAGGGAAAGCAAGTCATTTAAAAATGTGTATAACTATTATTAGTAGTTGATAATCCTTGAG